GCGTGTCTTGAACGCGGTTTTGTGCTGGTCGCTCGGATCGACTTCAATCTGGTGATAGCCAGACTTGAGGTCGATCTTGGAGAAGACCTTGCAACCACCGGCCGCATCCAACAGATCATCAATGCGAGGCAAAGGGTACGCATTCTTCCTAGTGATCCGGTTCAAGCCACGGTAATCAATGCACATTCGGAGTTTGCCTCCTTTCTTCGGCACAAACAAGACAGGGGCACCAAACTCGGACTCGCTAGGCCTAATCCAACCACGGTCAATCATATCATCAATCTGTCTCCGCAGCTCCTCCAACTCACCTTTCCCCATACGGTAGACACAACCCTTTGGAGGAACACTCCCTTCTATTATTTCGATTTTGTGCTTGACTGGACGCTCGGGAACTCCGCGAGGTTCAGCCAACACTTCCGGAAATCGATTTAATAGGAGGCGAATGCTTGCTGGGATTTCCGGTGGAGGATCATCCTCATCAGGGGAGAGAAAATCAGACTGAGAATTTACAGCAATTACAACAGGTTTAGAGGTTTCCGAATCAGAAGTAGGCTGAGTATTCATAGTAGAAGTAGATGGAACAGGAGTAGAAGTAGATTTACCTTCCGAAGAAGAAAATGCAGCAAAAGTAGAAGGCACATGGAAAGGCTTTACAAGATCTATATGTACAAACTCACCTTCCTTGCGCCTGCGCACCGATCTGCAGAATTTGTTAGCACTGAGAAGAGTCACAGGGGACTCGCGCGTCTCATCTAACAAGACGGTACGCTCGTTCCCCTTGGCATCAAGCACCAAAAACTGATTGTCCGCCCATATGGTCCTTAGGCAGTGAGCCTTAAGCCAGCCCAAGCCAATGACCGCATCGAACGGACACTTGTCCATGACATAGAAGTTGAGCTCATGCGTGACAGCGCGGTCTTTGTCAAAGGTGATGCGCACACCTTTGACGACATGAGTGGAAGTGACAACCTCTTGGTTGCCTACCTGAGTCCGACAAGGGTTTTGCAGTTCCACTTGCTTCATACCCAGGCCCACCTTACGAATCCCGTTAGGAGAGAAGAAGTTAGTGGTTGAACCACTGTTGATCAGCACTCGGATGTATCGGCGGTTAATGAGAAGTTTAAAGAAGGTCAACTCCACACTTCCCTGGACACGGTGCTGCTGCTTGAGCTGCAGCCAATGTTCCATGTGGGCGTGGAAGTCTACTTCCTTAGACTCCTCCCAAGGCTCAGTGTATAACACTCGGACCGTGTAAGCCTTGGAATCAGCATCAGATAGGGCCTCAAGAGCTATCTGTTGATCAGATTCAGGCTCCTTGGAAGGGCCTGCAACTGACTGTTCAGCTCCCCTTGCTGTAGAGAGGGCTGATAACTCCTCTACGCCCCTTGCCTGTTTCCCTGAAGTCGGTAGCAGTCCTGCACGGCATGATAACTCCTCTACGCCCCTTGCCTGTTTCCCTGAAGTCGGTAGCAGTCCTGCACGGCATGCCCAGACTTTTGACAATGCAAGCACACGCGCAGTTTAGATCTTCTTTCCCACTCCTTTTGGCTGATGCGGAGGGCTTCCCAAGGTTTGGTAGAAGCATCCTCCGGTTTCTCAGGGATCTTCGCATTCTTGGGGAGGTGTACAACAGTTCCCCTACCCGAACCACGGTTAGGCCCCTTAGAAGCAGTCTTCTTGAATGCATTAAGTTTTTCATCTTCGTTACGGTCACACTCAATGGCTGATGAAGA